AAAAATTAGTTTAAAACAATATTTATAAATGCCAAATATATCACAAATGAATTACTTTTAATACAAAATTAATTTGTTGATAAATTTTAAAGTACTGTAACGCACTTCTCAGCTAATGACTCTACAGCTATAAGCAAACAAATTATATACATATATACTTGACTTTCATTGACTTTAAAACAAGTTTTTATTTAAATATATAAATGTATATAAGTTACGATAACTAATCAATGATTAAGAATGCAAAAAACTCTAGGAAAAGCTAAGCTGGGCCAATGATGGCTAAAAGTTCTCATATATCAATAATTTTTCAGTACAAAAACAATAACTAACTTAATATACCCGCTCGAATAGGGCAGTTAAACCACGATGCTGAGCTACAGCTGCTGCTGCTGTTGCTACTCCTGCTGCTACTCCTGCTGCTCCTGCTGCTGCTTCAGCTGCTATGGACAGCGAAATGGCGCTGCGAATTGTTGGCGCATAGAGCGGAAATGCAAGCTGAGTTAGTTGCGTCTTGTTGTTGTTGCTGTTGTTGTTATTGCTGATGCTGCCGAGGTTGATGATGCTGTTGTTGTAGTTATTGTTGTAGCCGCTGTTGTTCATAGTGGCATGGCCCATGAATATTCATGGTGGCTGCCGGGGCAGTCATTCATTCATTCGTGATTTCACGCAACCAGCAACAGCAGGAGGAGCAGGAGGAGGAGGAGGAGCAGCAGCAGCAAATGCAGAGAAAACGACGGCAGACAAAACATGAAAGCAAATAAATAAACAAATGTCAGCAGCGTCGTCGGAGGCGAACGCCAAGAAATTGGCGTGAAAATAAATCAAGAAACAAATTGGAAAATTTGTTATTTCGCCAACAGACAAAGCGAGGGACGGACAGAGGGACGAACAGCAGCGAACGACAAGGACAATGTGAACGAGAAGCCAACTGAAATAGTTTCCAAATACATTCATAATACACTAAATGCACAAGAAACTTGATTGAATTGCGAACGTAATCAATATATTGATAACATATCATATACAATATTTATGGAGATTGAAAATATCGAAAGGTTATTTGCAGTAGGATAGTCCATAAGCTGGCCAACTAGGGTATGTCCGATGTGTCTCATACACAGATGCAGTCAATAATACAATTAGATTTCTTTCGTTTTGTAAGCTTATCGATTTCAGCTAAGTCGATAGATTACAGAAAGTGAAGCTATTATATGTTAACTGTATTACATATATGTATTATGTATCGTAATATTTTGTATCGTTTATATTGAAGCCTGAAATATGTATTTCTAATAAACTAAAGTTGTTTTTAAATTTAATTTACCATTAATACTAATTTCAAATTGATCGATACACGAATTTATTAATTTCTGGGAGACTCTCCCAAATGAAATTGGTATTTTAATTAAACTAATCCAGTTATGATGCAATAAAAGCGGTGAAAAAAAAAACTTCTCTCCGATTTGCAAGCACTAAAAAATTATCGATAACTAACGTACATTATCAATCAATTGGCAAGGTCTAAGAATATATAAT